AAGCAAGAGTGAAGTGATGGCTGAGCGTGTTGACAGCTTCATTTATTTGGTTGAGAAGTTGCATCAGCCAGGCCCAACGCTTTGATCACTGACGAAATCCCATCATGGATACAGGAGGCTCGTTTGGCACATGCCAACTTACGCCATCTCTGGCTTAGTAGGCGTCATATCCAACTGGCTGGCTCGCTGGCTATCGATCAAAGGACGTGTGCACTGTCCTGCAGCAGTTCGCTCCATCCTCATATGTTGCTATGAGTGAGAAACAACCATTGAAGGTTGAAGACATGAACAGGTTAGCTGGCTGTCCTTGATCATATGTGCCTGCATTCTATCTCCCGTGTTAAATGGTAGGTTTAATGTGGTGATCCATATTGAAGTTAGGCATCAGTTGAGTGTTAGCTAAGGAGGAAAAATCAATCGACGAGGTTGTGAAGTTAAACCAATTGAGTGAGACGGTTAAGACGTATGTTACGCATGCATTCCTAACCATCGATCGCCTTCGTAGACGGTGACTGTTAGCTGACATAGGATTGATCATGTTGCAAAAGAGATAGCTGATGGTTGTCAAAGGAAAACATGGCTACAACAGTCAATGAAATCCACAACAGTTCGTTTAAGTCAGTCAGCCAGCCAGCCAGCCACTTAGGCAGATGTAGACTTCTTAGCTGGTTGGGGTTCATGGGAAGTTAAGAATCAATGGAGACTGGAGACAATTGGTGCTATGGCTCAAAAACGCTCTAAATGGCGCTAGCACAGATGAATTCACGCATTTTGATTTATAATATCCAATATCTCTGTTTGCTGCCTTCTCGTGCTTTGTGTAGTGCATGGAGTTGGTGTGACAACTCGAACTGCAATACAGTACATATGTGCTAAGTTCTACTTTGAAACCATTGAGTCAGTCAATCAGTCTTTTTCTATCGAGTATATCAATTCCAATGAAACATTTCTCTTGTTGTATTTCGTATAAAACACTTATAAGAAAGTACATATTGACTTTTATCACCTTTATAAGATTTTCTCTTATTCATGACACAATCGCACACACGCACAGACACGCACACAGTGAACGTGATTTAAACTCCATTCGTATTTTTTCATAAATGTTAGGAAAAGACATATAAACATGTGATAGATTCTATCGGTTGAATACATATCAGAAACACAAGAAATATGTGTACATTCCTTCTATTTAATTAATTAACCGTAATTACCCATAAAAAGGCATAAGTCATTAAAGTGAACTTCTCCATAGTTGGTTTGTAAGGGTTAGTTTTGTTTTTCTACGAGTTGGATCATGGATTGATATCAGTTAGAGGACCATTCAAAATCAGCCCACACGGAGTACTGGACAGCTGTCTTGTCAGCCTAGTTTTGCGAATCACTGGCAGTACGTAAGGGAGTTCGAACCCAGAACCTTCCGGTTACAAGGCTAGCGAGCTCGTATATATCACTGAGTCACTGGCACCTGACCCGATTCATTGATCAGCACATAAAATCTAAATTCTACCGATTCGTGATTTAGTGCGACCGCCAACTAATGTCATCAGTGGGACATCCATCCTGATGCTCGCTAGTGACTCGCCACATCATAAAGTGTTTTCTGGAGTTCTAGTGAGAAGTCGTGACCAGTGAGGTCCATTCAGATGTCACGTGTGAGGATGGATATCCCACCGACGACATTGGTTGGCGCCAGTTGCGCTAAATCACGAATCGGTAGAAGTTAGAATTCATGACCTGACCATTGAATCGGGTCCCAGTAGTTGAATGGTATACGAGCCTGCCTTGTAACTGAAAGATCATGAGTTCGAACCCAAGTGGTTGCGTTCTTCCGATGATTCCCAGACTAGGCTGACGAGACAGCTGTCCAGTACTCCAGTGCTGGTTTTCAATGGTTCTGTAACTGATAGCAGTCCGTGATCAACTCGTAAAAAAGAAAAGTAAAATGCCCTGGCAAAGTATATAACTTGTGTGTTATTACTATTATCTATTTTATGCCTTAACGTTCCCAGTGGAACATAGGGGGCTTCAAGCTACAGGCTTGAAGTGTCAGACACTTATAGAAGAGGCAAAATTAGGCAGTTTGTCTTTTACTGCGTGGCTAGGAAAAGGATAAACAAAATCTATTCGTAGCGCTATTCGATCTCATCTTGTGGATACAGACAGAACACAAGACTGATGTCAACGAGGCCACTTTCAAAGTTATTCACGGCATACCAACAAACCTCAACTTCCCCTTAAGAGTTCGATTACTGAATATTGCTAAGGCTGTTGGGATCCACATTAAGAAGCCTAATTTGTGCGTCCAAAAGAAGCTAGTTCAGACATTGTCCTTACCTCGGCCACCTAGGTTCGAATGATCCTGAATTTTTGTGGAGTTTTCCTAATTTTAGTTGATATTCTATTTGCTAATATACCTTTATTATTATTATCATAATTTAAGCATCTTTAATAAACTGTAATTCCACTAATATTGTTATTGACTACTATTCTAGAATATTCTATGTATATAAACACATGTATATATCATTGTAGGGCCAGAACAGGAGGAATTCATCGGAAAGGATATTCTGTGCTCATTTGTTTTGTGTTAGATAAAAGACAGTTTTAAATGAATCGTGAATAATAATAGTAATAATAATAATAAAAGGTAGAATAGAGTTTTCATAACATTAACTGTACTAATAATAATAGTTAATAAATGAAACATATAACCATGATAGATTCACAGTGAACACCATTCCCATGTGTAAAACAGAGACCTGGTTTATAAACTCGAATTGCACAAGCCTTACAGATTGTTGAAGCACCTGCTTGATAGTGGTGTTAAGGAGGATGAGTTTTGTAGAAGAATCCATTCTATTGATAGCAATATCAAGTCTTCATTTGTGTACTTCTTGTACACATCATCTCTTTTGGATGGCGAATTGATATAGGACAGATTTCTTTGGAACTGTTTGGTTAGATTAACTGGGGCTAATTTTTTTAGAGTATTGCTTAATGATCCTCATAGGATAATAATAATAATAATAATTTGCTTTATTCCAAAAACAGTACTAATGATACAGCAAGGAATTTTCAGCATTCAGTACAATATTGCATCTAATTTACTCAAAAACGACAACAAAAAATAAACGAAATAATCATTACATAATACCCATTCTTAGATAAAATATCCTTCATTCAGAGTCTGTATTTCATGTTTAATTGTACTATCACAACCAATTTTCCGTATTCTATTGATGAATAATGTTCTAAGTTCTTTTTATACTGGATTGGAAAAAAAACCTTTGAAATAAATGTACTGCCGTGTCCATAAAGACTTTCTTAATATAGATCTTTACAAAGTGTCATCAATCCTTTTCAGTGTTCAAAAACGTCTAGAAATTCATTAGTATCATTTTCTATTGAGGAATCTACACATTTGATCATAGGGAATAATACAAAAGACAGTTGCAGCGAGGAAGAAAATTTTCTTTTCAACGAAGTCACCGTCAACTAGATAGCCAGCTGTACATTCTTGCATTTATAATAAATGAGTAGGAACGTTCCAGAATAATTTCTGATCAAGGCTCAGAATTATAGAATTACAATTAGGAATTAAAATGACATAATAAACAGGGGAGAAGGATAAAACTCAAACAAAGTAGCATCATAATTAGCGAGAAGATTGACATATTGTACAATTAGGGGTTAGAAATGTAGAAATAAGAAAAATAGACAGGATGTTTCGGCAAAAAGATCTAGTGGGATCATAACTTATGTGAAGAATAATTGCTAATGCAATCAGGGATTAAATATGTAGAAATAATAAAATGACAAAATAGACAGGAAGTTCGGATTTGAAAATATGGCATTGTAAATAGGGATTAAGAAAAACTTAAAAATAACATGACTAAACAGGAAGTTTGGACTAGAAACGCAATGAGATGGTCATCACTAAAAGAATTACCTGTTTATGATGGCCACGGCAGGGACAAGGGTTGGACGTATTTCTTTTGGATACAACGCATGGGTTTGAGCTTTTGGACGGGTAGTGTCTTGGTCATGCCCACATGTCTTAACTTTACTCCCTTTGATAGGTTTGACTGAATCTTGTATATTATTTTGAAGGATTTTTCGAATGGCGCTGAATGTCCTGAATTGACCAGATGTTCTGTCACTGAACTATAAACACATTTTCGTTATCGTTTTACTAGCCAGGCTGGATAGTGTTGACGAGCGCGTTTCTCAAATTGACGCATGGTACAGCTGATGCACTCAGCTCCGTAAAAGCAAGTAAACTGGTATATGCATGTTGAAGAGGTCCAATGCGACAGATTGTCTTTCGTGTTCCGGTTGAATAATTGCTTGCAGGAAAACATCAGTCGTAGGCTTGCGGCGAAGTATGTTTTCCTGATAGATTTGCAGAGGCGTTTACGAAGGATTTATTCGTCACATTAGTTATGATCCAACTAGATTTTTTTGTCAAAACATCCTGCCTATTTTTTGTTATTTCTACATTTCTAACCCCTAATTGTACAATATGTCATTCTTCTCGCTAATTATGATGATACTTTGTTTGACTTTTATCCGTTCCCCCTGTTTATTATGTCATTTTAATTCCTAATTGTAATTTTATTAATTTGGCCCTTGACCAGAAATTATTTTGGAACCTTCTCATGCATTTATTATAAATACACAAATGTACAGCTGGTTATCTAATTGACGGTGACTTCGTTGAAAAGAAAGCTTTCCTCGCTGCAACTGTCTTTTTGTCATTCCGTATTTAGGAGTCGCAAACTAGGCTGACGAAACAGCTGGTCGCCCAGTACTTCCCCTGTAAGTTTTCCAATACTTCTCTAACTGATATCAGCTCATGATCAAACGTGTAACCAATCATATCGTTGAATGAAAAAAATTACCACTTGACAATATTAAAAACAATTAAAATTATTAAAAAAACACAATATTTCCTTTTTTATAGACTAAAAATTCAATAGAGAAAAATTTTCACTTACTAATGTTTGACTAAATAATCCCGCAAGTAGAATAAGACAACCACGCCAAGTGAAATGTTCAGCTAAATACGGTGTAATGATGGATAGTAAACCAAAGCCTAAACATCCACCACACATTACCATGCCAACAATAAAAGCACGATGTTCTTCAAACCAATGTCCAATGACTGTAATAGCTGGTAAGTAGATTAAACTACAACCAATGCCTAAAAAAGGGAGCGGGAGGCGGGGTAGACGGTACAGTGGAAAAGAATAAAATAAAAACAGAAAGGGAGAGAATATTATGTATATGTAAATATACAACATCATAATTCAAAAGAATGGATATTGAACAAATAATACTCTTTTGTGATAACCCCTTCATCATCAGGCTCCACAGATATATATACATCCATAATAGTGAATGAATTAGTGTTATGAACAACATTAATGTTGTTTGAATAACATCGTATCAATAATATTGATAGATTACAGCTCAATAGCATCAACATAAAATAAGCTGAATGTCAGAAGAATTAGGAAAGATAATAGTACAAATTCATGAATTTCTAGTCTCTACTGAAGGCTGGCCAGGGCAGTAGTAGGAGCTGGTTGGACTTGTTTCTTTTGCACACAAAGCACTGGTTGTTTGAGGCAAATTGCAATAGCCTCTGCTGTTTGGAGCATGCGGTGCTTCGATGATTTTGGCAATTTATTAGGCATCCGGTAGATGATGATAGAGAAGGATTCTTCAACGCTGGCTGGCTTTGTGGCCGGCCGGTTTGCACTAGATGGTCCAATATCGAACTGTTAATGGTTTTAACTACACCTTTACTTAGCCATAGTGGGAGATGTTCTCCAGCGAGCACGAAAAATCAAGTTCCTAGAGCAACGACCGATATAACTCGCTCCACCACAAGCGCAGTTGAATTGGTAGATACAATTTGAAGTGGCTAGCTTGTCTAGGTACTTCATCTTTCAGTCGAGGAAGTACCATCGGTCGTGTAAAGAATAAGATGTGTAGTTCGACAGCAGGTTCTCTCCTGCACATCTCTACATCTTTCGCCTTTTTCTATACATGCTCTTATTAGCCAAAACATCAAAGGCTAATTTGATCACGCTTTTGGCAACTTTTTCAATGTGTATTTTACCAATTCACCTCCTTCGGTAAAGCTAGGCAATATAATCGGTACCAGAAGGACATTCATTGTCTAGACATGCCCATGGACACTTCATAACATAGTTATTACAAGGAGAACATAGAATAGTCAATAATTCAATTCTGGAGCATATTATTACTTCTGGTCATATAGCATAGGTGACTGACTGACTGAATCACTGGTTTCAATGTAGAACTTGGCACAGATGTGCACAACTTCGAATTGCCACACTACATGCACCACATAAAGGTAAACAGAGGACTAAAGAGATATTCAAAAGATAGATATTGGATATTATAAATCAGAAAGCGTGAATGCATCTGCGCCAGCCATTGACAACTAATAACTCCAGCCATTGGTTTTTTATCCTCCCGAGAACCCCAACCAGCCAAGAAGTCTACATCTCCTTACGTGGCTGTCTGACTGACTGAATTAAACAAACTGTTGTGGATTTCATTGACTCATGAAGGATGCCATGTTTCGGTTTGACAAAACACTTGCTAGCTTCTCTCCAAACTGATCCATCCTATGTCAGTCAGCCAACGTTGCTCATAAAGGAATGGGATCGATGGCTAGGCATGCATGTGTAACACATGTCTAAACCATCTCACTCAATTGGTGTAACTTAACAATCTCGTTGATTGATTTTCCCTCCTTACCTAGCACTCGACTCACGACCAACTTCAATGGTGCTCACCTTATTACACCGACCACCTAACATGGGAGATAGAATGCAGTCACTTATGATCGAAGACAGCTAGCCTTTTCAACGGCCATGTCTCATTCACAGCCACATAGGAGGATGGAGCGAACTGCTGCAGGACAGTGAACACGTCCTCTGGTCGACAGCCAGCCAAATATCAGCCAGAGATGAAGTGAGTTGGCATGTGCCAAACGAGCCTTCTGTATCCATGATGGGATTTCACCAGCGATCAACCCGCTGGGGCTGGCTGATGCAACTTCCCAACCAAATAAGTGAAGTGGTCAACACGCTCTATCAATTCACTCTCCCCTATATTTAAGCTAAGAGTCAATGTAGTCAAGTCCGGTAGAATCATCTTACATTACATCGTATGACAAATATTCGAAGATTGCTGCTCCTCAAGGTGTATAGAAGACTTTGGATGTTGTCAGCGTTCCCACCTAGAAGGACTATAGCATCTCCACATTATAAATCAACGAGGTTATTCCCTGGTTGCAAAAAGTCGATCCCTGAGTCGCTGAAGTTAGTTGGGAGTAAAGTCCTTTAGTACATCTATGATGAAATTAAACATAAATGAGGACAGTGGACATTCCGGATGGACGCCACTACTTATCAACACTTCAGATGATAACTCTCCGTAAGCTCTCACCTGGCTGCATGAGTTCGAGTACAGTGCTTTTATCATTGCGATTAATTTTCTCTCGGTATTCCCTTCACAAGCAAACATCACCAGAGTACCTTTCAGTTGACGGAATCGAACGCCGCTTTCAGAGATCAAGAAATATGACGATTGTTGGACCCCAGTAATTATGTCTATACTCCAGAATGTGTCGGAGGGTTAATATATATATATATATATATATATATATATATGATCAATACGTCTTCATTCTGTTCTAAAGCCTGTTTAGTTCTCTCATGTTTGTTCCTATGAAGCACCTCTTAGTCTACGCATGATTAGATAGTCATTGTTTCTTAGCATCCCAGGGACTTCAACCAGGCAGTCGACTAGTCATAACAAAGTATTGGATTTTGTAGGGATTGAATTTGACTGGAAATCCTCCAACCAATCAAATTTAAATTGTATTGTTAGTTGGTCAGTGGTGGATAACAGCGGAATCTAGAATGTAAGTTTCATCCTGTTCTGAACGCCTCACTGGATATCTACCTGCAATGTCCTCAGCCAGTTATTGAATTAATTGTTTTTTTTTCAAGTACTGGTTTTGTAGGTATTTTGTTTGATTGGATTGAGGATCTCATCATGAACTGAGGCAGTAACTCATCGAATAAGACATTGCGAAATGACCACGCTATGTCGTGAATGGCAGAAGTTAGAATTCATGGGCTGGTCATTGGATCGGGCCCCAGTGGCTACTGAATGTTCTACGAGCTCGTCATGTAACCAGAAGGTCCTGGGTTCAAACCCCGGTGGGTGCGTACTGATGAAGAGTCCCAAACTAGGCTGACGAAACGGCTGTCCAGTACTCCCAGGTGGTTTTCCGGTGGTTCTCTAAATGATGTCAGTTCATGATGATGAAATCCTCCATCCAATCATAATTGTGTCCCCCCTAAGACTTGAATCCAGAGCGAATTATTTTAAAATAACTCAAAAATATCAACTGAATACACATTCACAACAAAATAAACAAACAAGTCGACTACAATACAACTTGATTTTAAATTTACTCACCTCCAATTATACCAAAGACAATGTTGAATGTGAATATATCATGTATGAATAAAGCACATATTAGAAAGCACAATGTGGTGATTATTGAACCAACTGAGGCAACTATACGATAGTCGAATCGATTTACCAATGCACCGGTAAGAGGACCTATATATGTGGATGGAAATAACAACACCATGTTAACAACTCCAACTGTATATATACAAATTTACATGTACCTGCGGGAGCAGTTACATTACAAGAACAGAAACAAGGGCATATCTACAATTTTCTGAACCCGGTAGATGATAGGGAAGGATTCCTCAACGCTGGCTTTGTAGCCGGTTTGCACAAGATGGTCTAATATTGAGCTGTTAATGGTTTTCAGTACACCTTTACTTAGCCATAGTGGGATATGTTCTCGAGCACCAAAAATCAAGTTCCTAGAGCAACGGCCAATATAACTCGCTCCACAGGCGCAGTTGAATGGATAGATACAATTTGAAGTGGCTAGTCTAGGTACTTCATCTTTTAGTCAAGGTAGCACCATCGGTCGTGTAGAGAATAATACGTGTAGTTCGCCAGCATTAAAAGTCCTTTGAACTGATTTTTTTTAATTTCTTCGTAATTATCTCGCTTGGTATATCGCCGATGAATTGTAGTCGTACATATAAAAACTTCTTGTTTACAGACAGTGATTAGTCCTTTCCCACTTTCTTTGTCATGTGTTTCTTGATAAATTTTTCGGGATAGCTATTTCCCATCAAAGTATCATATACAATGCTTAGTTCATCTTCAATGTGCGTCGATGGCACAGTGGTTAGGACTCTCGCCGACCATGCACATGGTCCAGGGTTCGATCCCCTGCCGGCGCACACCCGATATCTATGGTCGGCCTGAATGTGGGCTACCGATATCCACGCTGAAAATTCCACACTTGTACCGAAAATACGGTGTGGAATCAAGCTGTAAATCAAAATAATAAAAATAAGAACATATCTACAATTTTTCTGAAAATGTACCAAAAAGCTGATGTCTAAAAGGAACAAATGTTTTATAAACAGTGCCATCGCCAGGCATCTCCTTGACACAGGGGTCATGATGTGGGCGTCTCAAGATCGTTGAAAATTATCAATCGGCAAAAGAGTTCGACTCTCTCTAAGTTTGCTGAAGCCATCTCCATCAAGTGCCTGAAACCTGATTTATGCGTTCAGAAAGAAACAGTTATCAGTCTTTCTTTGCCCTGGTAACTGGAAGTTTTCACCTCTCCTTCATCTGATTACGTAATGCCAGGAGTTTCCATTTTCAATTTTCTAGAAATCGTAAACAACATAGAAACGAACCAATAAGATTCGCTTTTTACTGCTTTAATGCTTCGAGTGGGATATATGAGGCTTCAAGTAATGGGCTTTGAAGTTTCAGTAGCAATAGCAAGCCAAAAGTATGGTTGAAGTATGTGTAGATGACGCATTCACAGTGCTTAGAACACACGATACAGATAGATTTTTCGAACATATCAACTCAAAAGTGGAGGCAATTCAATTCCCTTATGAATTGGAAAGTCACGAACTCAGGGAGCTTCCAATGTTAGAGTGTATCATGGAAATGGAAGTAGATAGGAAGTTAAACACTAGTGTGTTTACAGAAAACCCACACATTCAAACAGATACTTGGACTTCCGATCATCTCATCCTATGTCAGTTGAAATAGAATTGTTGAAACGTTTAAGTAAAAGAGCACAAAAACTAAATACAGTAGCAAGGAAAATCTAAGACAGGAAGTGAGACATATAAGAGAAGCATTGAAACTTAATAATTACCCGGATAAATTAGTCAGAAAGTATGTAGGGAAATGTGAAAATAAAATAAATAACGATAGTAGTAAGTCATGATAATAATCATAATAATAATAATGACAACATGCATGTCAAACATGCACAGGATAATGACAACACCAACAATAAGGAATCTAAATCATCAGTAGTAATTCAATACAAGGAAGGAACCTCGGAAACCTTACGCAGAATTCTTAACAAGGCAGGCAGGAATAAAATTGGCTGGTATTCATACCACTCACAAAGCCAATTAGAAATAAGCTTTGTCGGTTAAAGGATAAATCCTGTGGAGCCTTCAAAAGAAAACAATTTAGTTTATCTAAAACCCCGCCAGCAATGATTGTCAGGTAAAATACATAGGTCAAGCTAGTAGAACAAGTGCAGTCAGTCAGACTAGCCGAGCAGCATCAATACCTAGCAAAAACTAGATTAGTTGACCCGAATAAGATAAGAAATCTAGAGAATAGTTCAGCCGTAGATAGCACTCACTACATGCAATTACACACAACCATACAATATGATGGTTGGGATAAGATGACAGTTTGTTTTATAGTCTAATGTAACATCAGGGTGGAGGGAGAGACTGACAACAGTGGAAGCTTTGTTTATCGAATCAACTGAATGAAAATACGTGTAATAGGAATGATTCAACATCTGTCCAGCCGGACATCTGGAAAATTCTACTACCCCAACGACGAAAAATAGGAGAGAACAAATATGACGCTATGATACTCAAGTTTCGAAGTCGTGTGATTATAATTGCTGATATGATTATCAACAATAATAGATTCTCTTCGAAACGTCATCTAGTAAATAATGCTGTTTCGCTTTGTGATACATCTAATAAACAAATTGATATGGAATTAGCGTTAGCAGTGTTTTCCATGGGGAGGTTGGGAGTGGTCAGCCTCATGCTCAACATTTCCTTTCTCTTTTTTGATAATGACTATAAGAATAGTGATCTGTTTCATTCCAAAAAACAAACAATACTTATAATAAAGAAAGGAATTCTGAGCATTTGTCACAATATTGTATCTAATTTACTCAATTTGAATTAAATCAACCGGCGGGGTGGGGAAGTTTTCCACATTTACAGTAGGAATAGAGTGCGTCGGTGGCATAGCTGTTAGGACGCTCGCTGACCATGCACATGGTACGGGGTTCGATTCCCGGCCGACGCACTCCTTTACCTCGCGAAGCCAGAAATAATGCTGGTGAAGAGGAAAGGTTGGGTATGAGGCTAGCAACCCCATCCTGTAAAATAAACACTGCTACAGAAACTTCAAGCCACTAGCTTGAGGCCCTACGTTCCACTGGGGAACGTGAAGGAAAAAAAACAATAGGAATAATGTCAAAACTGTGTGCAAAGTATAAAATGAGAATAATAATGGCAATAATAAGAGTGAGTTTGTTTCACACAATATTGCCAATACAGTATGGAAATTTTAAGCATGTTATACAGAGACGAATCTAATGTTCTCTCTTGACATAACATGATCAGGGGAAAAACAAAAGATAATGACAGTTATAACGCAGCTAAGATGGTGTTTACAATTATGGAAAAAATAAAAACATAGGACTATAAATATAATAGGAACAATAACCGTAAGATTTGATGGTATAAGGATACAAAAAATTGTTTGTTTACTAGTGATAAGCAGGTTAGTTAGTTAGTTCGTGCCTGACACTGCTTTCATCACATAAAGTAAGTGCCAAACATGCTAACGTGGAATGTTTGTACTTAGACGTGCGCACATAAAGTCTTTTGAAATGACTTCTTGGTCAACCTGAGGAGGAGCAAAGTGAAAGCTCAGGGTAAGGTGGATGCCCACATTCTGACGAAATCCCTTCAGCAAATTTCTTACATGAAATTAAGTGCTCATCGTCAATGACGATATCAACAATATGGCTCAATGCGATACCACGATTCACCCTACTGACAGCTAGTCTTCAGAGTTCTACGAAATATGACATAGTCTTTTTTAAGCAGTCCAGGAAAGAATAAGGGGTTAAAAGTAAAGAAGAATAGGTAAAATACACGAGTTGACAAACTTCAAGAGGAGTGGTTGAGTTATGCCTGAATGCCTCAACTTCTTAGTGTAAAAAGGCAAAATATTTTACTAGAAATCGGTAAGACATGGGAAGACCAGGATAGGTCAGTAGAAACAATTAATCCAAGATACTTAACTTCAGACTTGATTTCTATATCAGTATCATCAATTTTGCAATGGTCATAGGAACCAACAGCTTCATTTAACTTTCTTTTACATCGGAAACTGAAATTAACAGTCTGACATTTGGAAGGATTTAGTTTAAGGCCATTAGATAAAGACCATTTACTGACTCCTGATAGAAAGCTGTTCATCTTAGTACAGTCTATCTGTGAGTTAACAGACATTGAGGTAAGTCATGCAAGAAGAAAGAGAACAGAAAAACCTTGAGGGACACCAGCCTCAGTAAGCAATGAAGTGGATGACTTCCCTTGACATACAGTGTACTGCTTTCTTCCTGAGAAATAAGAATGCAGCCATTTGACAACTCAACAGTCAGTTTGAGTTTCAGCAAGCTTGTTTAATAAAATGTCCCTAGGTACCACGGAGTCAAAAGCAGATTTATAACCTAGGAAGGCGTAGCGAACAAAGTGAGCCCCTTTTGTCTAAACTGGAGACGATGTTATGATGCAAGATGGCAGCAGCTGCTTCTAAAGTACCTCTACTATGTTAGTAGGCAAATTGTTTGGAATTTTTAAAGGCTTTAGGTAGAAGTTCAAGATTAAGAAAAAACCAACTTCTTCATAGTTTTCGAAAAAGGAGAGATTATAGCAATGGGTCTACACTTGACACATATTCCAATAGATGGCTTAAATATAGGCACAATTTTAATGTCTGTCCGAATGGCCGGCACAACATTTCTGGAAAAAAGATTCATGAAATATATCAGTGAGAAGGTGACATAGAAAACCTCCGCATTTTTTTAAGAATAACGCTAGACACACTATCTGAAACTAGACTAACTACTGGTAAGGCGAAGTTAGGAAGTATATCGACCGGGAATCGAATCCCGCACCACATGGTGACTAATATCTTAAGACTCAGGTGGAAGTTTTTATTATGTGTAGCTGAGCTATAAACAGCGTCAGTTTATTTTTTATTTTTTTATTTATTATTCGACGGTGTGGCAATGGGGTCACCACTACAACCCATTCTAGTCGACATTTCCCTTGCGAAACTAGAAAATGGGCCATTGAAAGATGTAAATGATGAATTAGAATTCTACTGTCGATACATGGATGATACATTTTTGATTATGAAAAATGAGAAGGAAGCAAAAACCATCCTGGATAAATTTAATGAGGTTCCTCCTGCAATAAATTTTACTATTGAGAAAGAAAAAGACTCTAGTATTTCATTTCTAGACGTCCTTATGACCGGAAAAGAGGATGGAACAATAAGAAGAAGTGTATATAGAAAATCTACATCAACGGGTCAGTATACTCATTTTCTCAGCTTCGTGCCCTTGAAATACAAACGCAATCTGATAAAGTGCTTGGTTCACAGAGCAAGAGCAATTTGCTCGGACGAATGTCTTGATGACGAAATTAATAATATCAAAGGGTTGTTGAGTGAAAATGGTTATCCAGAAAAGTTTATTGAAAAGAATATGAATCTAAAATCAAAGCAGCTCAAGGTACCAACAGTTCCTAAAAAGGCCTTATTCTTACAAATTCAGTTCCTTGGGGACAATATCAACGAGATACTAACACAGTGCATTAGAAATGCGGTAAAAAGAGCATTCCCTGCTGCTGAATTACGCTGTGTCTTCAAAACCACTCACTCCTATTTTGCGTTCGGGAGTAAAAGACAAACTGCCTAATTTCACCTCTTCCATATGTATCTACCAGTTTAACTGTTCCTGTGAAGTGAGCCAGTTACATAGGCCGTACAATTAGGCGTGTTTCCGGTCGGATTTCCGAACATCATCCTGCACAGTGGTTAAGTAAAGGACGAATAAAATCAATTCGTAGCGCTAATCTATCTCATCTTGTGGATACAGACAGAACACAAGATTGATGTCAACGAGGCAGCTTTCAAAGTTATTTACCGCATACTGACAAATCTCAACTTCGCCTTAAGCGTTCGATTACTAAATTTTGCTGAGGCTGGTTGTTGGGATCCACATTAAGAAGCCTTATTTTTGCGTCCAAAGGAAGTTAGTTGAGAGATTGTTGAAAAAAAGCCTGCCTTCATTCAACTAGATTTTAAAGGTGAAAACATTGCAGAAATGGTCAACAGAAGACTGAGAACGTCACTAACCAGAGCCTATCCTGCAGCTAAGTTGGTTCCCGTCCATCGAACAACATGCTCAAAAGTCGATAGATACCATTCTCATGTTAGCTCGAACTGTGTATACAAATTTACGTGTATCTGCGGGAGCAGTTACATTGGGAGAACAGAAAGAAGGGCACACCTCCAATTTTCTGAACATGTGCCAAAAAGCCTACGTCTCAAGGGAACAAATTCTTATAGCAGCACTATTACTAGACATCTCGACACGGGTCATGAGGTAGAAATCGAGAAATCCTTTAAAATTATCAATAGACAAAGGAGTTCCATTCTCCTCAAGTTTGCCGAAGCAATCTCTATCAAACGCTTGAAACCAGATTTATGTGTTCAGAAAAAAGCAGTTATTAATCTTTCCTTGCCCTGGTAACTGAATGTCTTTATTCTCTCATCTGATTACGTAATCTTCGTCTTTAACCTCACCCTCTTTTATAACCTGTAATTTTGCTTGTCTCTTGTTTCTATGATTTGAGTTGAACTCAGTACACTGTTACCTAATTTATTAGTCACTCTGTATCTAACGCATATTTCGTCTTTATCACGTAACTCCTTTACCATTGTATGCATACATTTATTTTGTTTAAACTTGAACTGCCTGTGTGAAAACTATATAAGCGCAATTTTCTGAGCACTTTTCACTTATTGTGGAACTTTTCGTCAACTAACAACATGTAAAATTTGCAAGTATGTTAAAACTTCTCTGTACGCAAACCTCATAATTTATTTAGGCTGTAAGCAGCTGATGAGAAGCCAACGAAATAAGCAATGATGAGTACCATATTATTCTGCACAAACCACTGTTGTTCTTGCTTTATTTAAATTCATCAAGGGGAATAAATGCATGAAGATTGTCTTTACCTCAGCCGTCTAGGTTCGAATGATCCTCAATTTTTTGTAGAAATTTTCCTAATTTTAGTTGATATTCTATTTGCTATTATATTTTTATTATTATTATAATTTAAGCATCTTTAATGAACTGTGTAATTCCATCGAGATCTTACTTTACAAATCAATATTATTTGAAGAAACACTAATATTGTTGTTGACTACTATTCTAGAATATTCTATGTATATAAACATATGTATATCTAATTGTAGAGCCCGAACAAGAGGAAAGTATCGAAAAGGATATTCTTTGCTCAATTATTTTGTGTTTTAATTGCATGGGGGATTTCATCATGAGCTGACATCAGTTAGAGAACCACTGGAAAACCTGGGAGTACTGGACAGAAGACATTGCGAAGAAATGGTCGCGCTATGTCGTGAATTGGCAGAAGTTAGAATTCAAGGACCATTGGATCGGTTCCCGAAGTCTGCTGAATGGTTTACGAGCTCGCCTTGTAACCAGAAGGTCCTGGGTTCGAATCCCGGTGGGTGCGTACTGATGAAGAGTCCCAAACTAGGACGAAACAGCTGTCCAGTACTCTAAGGTTTTCCAGTGGTTCTCTAACTGATGTCAGCACATGATGAAATCCTCCATGCAATTAAACAAAATCCCTACCAAACCAATACTTGAAAATATTTTGTGTTTTATTTATTTATTTATTTTTTGATAAATAGAGTCGAATCTGTCCCTCTCTCTCTCTTTCGTCCTTCAGGATAGAACATCTAAAGGTCCGATGCGTAATAGATAAAGACGAAAACATTTAAAAAAACGTTAAAAATACACTCACCGAATAAAAAGTATACCCCGCATAATAGTGCTCCTGGTAAGCTTAACATAGCTAAAGATATTTGACTAGTGGTATCATTTACACGATAGGCAGGAGGAGGAAGAGGAAGAGGAGGATTTCCACTGAATTGACCTTCTTTAATCATTTCATTTATATGCAAACCATACGAGAAGCATACACCATCCACAGTAAAAATGCATAAAAAGCTTCCAAGTGCAACAAGCCAACCCCAACCACCGTTTGGAATTGGTTCTCGTAAAAAATCTACAAAACAATGATGATAATAATAATAATGCATGTGTTAGTAACCCAGTATGCACTTTGATGCTTAACATCCTTTATACTAATAAGTTCACATGAATTAGTCTCTCAATGCTTATTTATTAACATTTTGTTTAAAATACAGTTTTTCTTGGTATACGGAGGTCAACTTTGTAGAAATCGTTCGCGCAATGGAAGTGAGCTCCACTGTCCTAATTGATTCACTGACTGGTTTCACCATAGAACTTCGCACCGATGTGCAGCAGTTCAAGTCGCCACACTCACTCCTTGTAGCAAATAAAGCAAGAGAAGAAAGCAGAAGAAATGCAAAATAGAGACAGTAGAAAGGGATATAAGGCAAAAAGAGTAGTAATATCGAAGATCCACACAGTTTTATTGGGTATTATAAGTCACACAAGGAGTGGATGCATCTTCACCAGCCATTGACAACGATTTTGAGCCATATCACCAATTGTCTCCAGCCTCCATTGGTCTTTACCGTCCCGAGGACCCCAACCAGCCAACCAGGAAGTCTACACCTTCCTACGTGATTGGCTGGCTCAAAATAACTGTTGTGGATTTCATTGACTGATGAAGCCATGTTTTCGTTTGGCCACCACTAGCTGGCTCTTTTCTAACCTGACCCTATGTTAGCTAAGATTGCCCGTCGAGGAAGACGATGGCTAGGCATGCATACGTAACACATGTCCTAACCATCTCAGTCGATATAGCTTCACAGCCTCGTCTATTGATCTATCCTCCCACCTACCTAGCACTCGACCAAAGCCTAACCTCGATATTGCTCACCCTATTATACCACTTCACGCGGGAAATAGAAGGTAGACACCTATGATCAAAGACAGGTAGCCAACCAGGCTTTTCACGTTTTCCACTCTCAATAGCCAGGTCTCACAGCCATTATTCGGGTCAACTAATCTAGATTTTGCTAGGTTTTTATGCTCTACTAGTCTGACTGACTGACTTACCGCGTTCTACTACTCTAGTTTATGTATTTGACCTGACAATCATTTCAGGCAGGGTATTAGATCAACTAAATTGTTTTGAATAATGGGCTGTTCCACAGGATCTTTTAACCGACAAAGCTTATTTCTAATTGACTTTGTGGGTGGTGTGAATCCCAGCCAATTTTATTCCTGCCTGCATTGTTATTAATTCTACGTAAGGTTCCCGAGATTCTTTCTGTGTACGAAGTACTACTGATGATTTAAATTCCTTATTGTTGGTGTTGTTATCGTTCTGTGTACGTTATTAATAATTATTATCATCACTATTAACTATCATTGTTATTAATGTTAATTTTTACATTTTCCTACATACTTCCTGATTAATTTATCAGGGTAATTATTAATTAAGTTTCAAAGCTCCTCTTATATGCCTCACTTCTTGTCTTTGATTTTCCTTGGTACTCTATTTACTTTTTGTGCCCTCTTGTCACTTAAACATTTCACCAATCCTATTTTTGTCATTAACATAGTGCAGGATAGTTCGAAATCCAGATATCGGTTTGAATGTATGCGTTTTCGGTAAACACACTAGTATGTTTTTTTAATGTAGTTGTGTTCTCTGAGCTGGATAGTTTGTTTACGAAGCTTTCATTGCCCTAGTAGGCAACATCTTCAGGGCATACTTCAAATTAAATTGACCAGATGTTCTGTCACTGAACTATAGACACATTTTCCTTCTCCTTTTACTAGCCCGGCTGTTCACGAGCGCATTTTTCAATCTGGCGCATGGTACGACTGATATACTCAGCTCCACACAAGCAAGTAAACTGGTATATGCACGTTGAAGTGACCCAATGCGACAGCTTGTCTTTCGTATGCTGGCTTGCAGGAAAATGTCTGTCGTAGGCTTGCGGTGACGCACTAGCCATCCAAAAGCTCAAACCCATGGTATGCGTCCAAAAGAAATACTTCCAACCCTTATCCCTGCTATTGCCATTATAAACAGGTAATTCTTTTAATAATGACTATCCCATTAACTTTCTTATCCAAAATTCCTGTTTATTCACGTTTTTCTTATTCCCTGTTTACACACTACCATATTTGCAGATTCGAACTTCCTGCCTATTTTATCATTTTGTTATTTCCACATTTCAATCTTCTCAGTAATTATGATGCTACTTTGTCTGAGCTTTATTAGTCCCCCTGCTTATTATGGCATTCTAATTCCTAATAGTAATTTTTATTAATATTCCCCTTGACCGGAAATTATTCTGGAACTTTCCCATCCATTTATTATAAATACACGAATGTACATCTATCATCTAATTGAGGGTGACTTCGTTGAAAAGAAAATTTTCTTTTCTACTTTATCTTACTTAACCATGACATTGAAAAGTTAAAATAAGATTTAAGAAATATGTTAGGCTAACTGGTAAAATCAACAACAAAAAAGAACCAATCATCAATTTAGGCATTTAGTGATTGATTATTTGATTGACTGACTGATCGATTGTCTGACTATCAGACTGATTGACCTATCCACGTAGAATATTGCAATAAAGTGAACTAGTTCAAGTTCCTATAGTTCCAATATTCATATCAAAAACTTTTGTATGTAAAACAAGTATGTAAAGTTACTATCTCTACTTTGGTCGAAGAGGGATAAATATTTACTGAGTTATAAGTGAATTTTAGAATTTTCCCGTCGATTGATTGGATCGAAGTGCTCGGTCTCAGATTGACATGGCTGTCGGCTTCTTGTGCAGATGCTTCGACGATGTCTGGGCATTTAATTAGAATTTAGTTGGTGGATGGTGACTAGCACTGGAATCTAGGATAATGCGCATTTTGTCCTATTTGGGACTCATCGTCTGGATGTACCTGCATTTCCCAATGATTGACGATGTTCCTACCAAGGGAAAATCTAAAATTCACTTAAATAATTAATATGACCCGTTGCACAAGAGGTGGCTCTCGTGACCCAAGTAGTCTAGTGGATAACGCGCTTTGGCGTTTGAAACTATGGGCACTAGGTTCGAGCCTTGGTGGGAACATCATCACTCACTGAGAAATGCAGGTACATCCAGATGACAAGTTCCAAGCAGGACGAAACGCGCATCCTGGTGGATTCTACTGCTAGTCACCATCCACTAACTAAATTTACTGAGTTACTTTTCATTTTATTTATTTAGTTAATTTGTGTACCTTTCCGTCAATACTGAGATGATGATTTTTATTACTATTCTGAATTAGAACTACTGTTCCGGTATTATTTCACTTGTTCACTATAGTTGGTGTTATACGACTGGACTACATCGACTCACTCACTTCTAGCTGAAAGATAGGCAGGAGTGAATTAGTGGCTGAGCATGTTGACCATTTCACTTATTTCGTTGGGAAGTTGCATCAGCCAGTGCCAACGAGTTGATCACTGACTAAATCTCAGCACGGATACAGAAGACTCTATTGATATACGTCAACTTACGCCATCTCTGGCTAAGTAGACGTGATATCTGGCTGGCTGTCGACCGAAGGACGTGTGTACTGCACAACAGTAGTTCGCTCCGTCAACCTTTATGGCTTTGAGTAAAACATGGTCATTGAAATTGGAAGACACAAAAAGGCTAGCTAGCTTTTTTTGACCATAGGTGTCTGCGTTCTTTCTCCCATGCTAAGTGGTAGGTGTAGTGAAGTGAGGACTATAGAGGTTAGGCTTCGGTCGAGTATTAGGGGTAAGGAGGGAAAGTCAATCGATGAGGTTGTGAAACTAAATCAGTTGAGCTGGCTAGGACATGTGTTATACATACCTGACCATCGTCTGTCTCGACGGACAATGTTAGCTGACATATGATCAATCAGGTTGAGAAAGAGCTAGCTAGTGGTGGCCAAACCAAAGTACGACTTCAACAGTCAATGAAATCAACAAACTGGTCGAAGAAGCAGCAAAGACAGGACTCCAGGTGAACATAGATAAGACAGAGGTTATGAAAATAACCAACCAACAACAACAGCAACATCTAGTGCCAATCACCATCAATGAAAGGGATTTGAAAGAGGTTACTTCATTCACTTATCTAGGGTGCATCGTCTCAACTACAGGAGGAACAGACGAGGATGTCAAATCAAGAATCGAGAAGGCGAGAAACACATTCATCAACCTGAAACCAACCAATCTGGAAATCTTCGTCACTCAACTCACCATCAACAACAAAATTCGGATTTTCAATACAAACGTCAAGTCACTTCTTCTATACGGATCAGAAACTAGGCCAGTGTGTCACAAAGATTATTTCCAACAGCCTGTTGCAGACCTTTATCAACAACTGTCTTCGCTGGCTCTATACTGAAGATCAGATGGCCGGAAAGAATCAACAACAAGAAACTATGGGAACAAACAAAACAAGAACCAGTCACTCAACAAATATGCAGGAAAAAGTGGAGATGGATTGGACACTAGCTGAAGAGGCTGCTGGGTGACATCGCGCGTCAAGCCATAGCTCGAGTGGAACCCAAAAGGGAAGAGGTGATTGGGACGTCCAAGGGTGACATGGAGGAGATCGTGTGCAGAAGAGTTGGAACAGTATGGACTAACATGGATGCAGGTGAAAAGTACAGCAGAAGACAGAAGCAAGTGGAGACGTGTACTTGAAGCCCTACGTTCCACTAGGAACCCAAGGGAACAATAATAATAATATGCTTATTATCTCTTTTGAATCTCTCTTTACTCTTTCCGTTTGCTTTGTGTACTACATGAAGGGATTGTGACATCTCGATCTGACGCATATCTGTGCAAAGTTCTACGTTGAAATCAGTCAGTCAGTCAGTTGTTCCACTTGTCAATCGTACGCGGAGCTAGTGACATTTCAGCTTAGAGTCAGGCAAGTTTAACGTCGAATTTCTGAATACCATGCATCTTGGTCTCACAAAGGTCTAAATAAAGCTATACATAATTCATTACTAGCTCATCTTGCCAATGCTGGCTGGACATTAAGTCGACTCTCACACAAAACTTTTAAAACTATTTATCATATTTCAATC